CATTGTGGGAAAATTCTACTACCAGTCCTTCATCACCTTACACGAAATAGGGTGAATACATCTCATATGAGATGTATTCACCCAATTTTGTTTAAGGTGATGAAGGACTGGTAGAATAAAGTCTGGAATCTGCCATAACTAGTTATGGTCAGCCTCATGACTGTCGCACGATATAGGGAAAAACACACTTGGTTGCAAATGTTGATTTTTTTCACAATTATATGAGTAGATCTTACGTTTTCCCAAAAGGTATTCTCATCCAGGGTGGACTATGAGGTCGAAACTGCTGTCCAACCCGAATGAGAATACCTTTCGGGAAAGCAAGGCTGCGTCAAATAAAAATGTCTACTCAAATGAGTATGGGAAGTTTCAACTACTATTCTTCATCAGTTTAAACTAAATACATCTGATTTTCTGGTTAATCTCGAAAGCCTACTCAAAATGCATGGGGAAAGGGATCGTGCCAAAGCCAGAAAGAAAGGATTAACAAGCCTAGGAGACTGCATCGAATGGAGGTCGGTACAGGTCGAGTTGAATGCTGATTCGTGCTTCCCGCCCACTACTGGCTTGTCGACCAATCAGATGCCTGTTGTAAAAATCAACCAATCACCATGTGGCAAAAGAGAAATAGCTACATTGTCATTGGCTAAGATTAGAGAGTTGCATGACCAATCATATCGCAAATTCATCAGGCCTCTGATAGGGGCGTTGGCACTTGGTTAACACAACTAATTGGCGCTGGCATGGCATGATTCCCGCTCCGCCAACTCACGCGAGGTCTCATCTAGCATGGGCGTGTTGACGTTTTTGCCCAGTCCTTCCATAAAACTCATCCTTTTAGCCTGGATTGTAACCTACCCTCCCTCGTACAGTCATGCCACCAGCGCCTCGGATGCAGAAGAGGGAAATATTCTCAGCTCAGTCTCACGAGCGGACCTACTCACGGAAGAGGAGAGCCGGAACGAGGGCTGTTGGTGGCCTGCTGTGGAGACGGCGGTCTGGCTCGACTATCGGCCGCTGCAGCTCTGCGATCACGAGGAGCTGGCTCGTGTCAACCTCTGGAAGCCTCTGGCCGACGGGTTGGCCCTACAGGCAGGCTTCGAGTGGACCAGCATAGGCCTGATCGCGTTGGCCCGATTCAACCGAAGTTGGATCGTCCTGGGCGGCTCTCGACTGTCCGACTCGCCATTGGCCCGTCGAGACGGCCACGTGTACGTCTGCGAGCTGGGCCGGCGACGCGACGCTCCGTCCGGCTTCGGGCCAGTCGGCCCGCAGCCCTGCAGCCTCATCCACAGGTCCCCCTTCAGCATCGGCTTCTTCATCAACACCCTCCACCTCTCGGACGAGTTGGCGGCCGTGCTCTTCTGCGAGCCGCACTGGTTCGCCCAGGCCAGCGTCCCGGCCGGCCGGTGCCTCCTCTTCCTGCACCGGGGCCGCGACGCCCCCGGCAGTCCCGTGTTGCTGCCCCAGTTCTGCCAGTCGACACACCGGCCCTGTCTGACTGGGTTCAGCGGCTGCATCGCCTCCAGCCTCTCCGGCCGAGACCTGGCCGCCTCGGCCGGCTCGCATCGCCGCCTCCTCAAGTCCCTTCAGCTCTGGATCGGCGAGCCGTTGTCCGCGCCCCTCGGCCGCGTCCAGATCGTCTCCGACCCCCTCGGCACACCCGTCATCAGCACCGTCGACCCCGCCCTCGGCGCCAAGGCCAGCCTCATCGGCGCCCACTTCGGCTACTCCGTCGTCGACGGCTACGCGACGGCGCCCGGCCTCGCGGGCGCTCACAACGCCTCGGTCGGCCTCGTCGGCATGCCGACCGGGGCGACGTCGCCCGAGGCGGCCGAGTTCGCGCCCATCTGGTACGCGGGACCCCAGGCCTCGCGAGGCGCGGCTCGGCTCTTCGACGGCTTCGGCCTCTCCCTCGCTCGTCTGCGTGTCCATCGCGACGGCGGCACCGACGCCATCGTCGTCGGGGCCCCTTTCGCCTCCCTCGAGACGTCCACGGCGACGGCGACGGCGACGGCGACGGCGACGGAGGAGACGAGCGCGTCGGAGCGACGGGCTAACCGAGGCTGCGTCTACCTGTTCTGCCCCGGCGGAGAGACCGCCGAGGCGGTGGGTCGACCTGACG